AGTTTGACTTCCGACTTGGTCCACCCGAGTTCAACACCAGCACCTCCACATTTTTGTTTCTGGGAGCAAGGAATGAAGTTAGAGATTTAGCTAACCTGTTTTGTGCTGGCATTTATGCTGGAGCTTACATTGCAACTCACTATGTTGATTTTCTTGAGAGTCTCCCCTGGTGACAGTTTTGAGTATAACCAGCATTTTTACATTAAAAATGAAACTGGCCCAAGGTGCGAATTACCTGGAAACCAAAGGTACACAATATTTAACTAGTCAGCAGCAAAGGAATTCCAGGCAGAATATAGCAACAACTTGTATTGATGTCACATGGGGAAACTTAGTAAGGAGGTCCCATTTGACACAAAGCGACACAGAGATATTTGAATAGATAGCCAGAATCAAAGAGGCAAGTTTTAGGTCACTTCTTAAAGGAGTTGAGAGGTTTACGGAGGGAATTCCAAAACCTAGGACCTAAGTGGCTAAAAGCCAATAGTGAGACAATGAAAATTGAGTGCATGCAAGAGAGATAGAATAGGAGGAGCACCAAGAACTTGAATGACAGAGCTGGAGGAGGTCACAGAAAAACAGAGGGGTGAAACCACGGAGAGATTTGAAAATGAGAATGTTACAATTCTGGTTTTAGAATTGAAGAACCAATGTAGCTAAACAAGTTCATGGACGATATACTAATATAACCTGGTGCAGAAATACAGCATGGAATCAGCTTCAGTTTACAGATTGGCACAGTTGGGGGTTCTTACTAACATTCCAATGAACAGATCCTGTCTTCAATTATAGCTCCAACACACAAAGCAATATGGCAAGATCTTCAAGTCGCACTTTGGACCTCAGTTTGTCGTCTCTATCGCTGACCGGAACATGGTGGCTCAGGTGTTGAGGGCAGAGAGCAGAGCCCCTCAAAGGGCCAACATGGAGTCGTGGCAGGAGTACAGACAGTTACGGGGAAGGGCGACAGGATTGATATCTGCGTAAGTAGAGCCTGGTAGGTGCCAACTGCTGGCTCGGTCCAAGTAGAGTCACAAAGGATTATGGAGGATTGAGGGAGAACACATTGAAGTTAAGCAGTTCAGGGAAAGATGGCTCACACAACACTGGGGTCATGCAGTGCTCAGGACTAACATCTTGCTTTTATCTGCAAGTTTCTCTCCTTGCTCCTTCTCAGACAGAGGTTCCATTATTGGATGGACATTCATCAAAGAACAAGTACAGTCTTCGTTTCAATGGGCTACTTGTCTGAGAGCTGGAAGCATTACTGAAGTCCCAGTGTTGACCAACACCTGGATGCCTTCAAGATGAATCATTAGTTCAGAATGAAGCCTTTTGCTTATACCCCTCGATTCCCTCACTGATTAAAAACCATCACTCAACTTTGAATAGAGTTAATGACCGAAGTCTTCTAAGGTAAACAATTCCACAGGTTCATTACTCTCAGAAGAAATTCCTCCTCATTTCTGTCTTAAGTGGGTGACCCCTTATTCTGAGATGATGCCCTTTGGTCCTAGACTCTCCCACAAGGAGAAACGACCTCTCCACACCTACCCTGTCAAGTCCACCAAAAATCTTAAAGCAGAAACAGAAATTGCTGGAGAATCTCAGCAGGTCACCATCCGTCGAGAGAAAACAGAGCTAATGTTTTGAGTCCAATGACCCTTCTTCGGAACAAAATCTAAGAACGTTGTATGTTTCAATCAGGTCACTTCTTACTCTTCTAAATTCCATGAATACAGGCCAATCTACACAGCCTCTCCTCATAAGACAGTCCTTCCATACAAGGTATCAGCCTAGTGAACCATCTCTGGACTGCCTCCAATGCTCCAATTCCTTAGATGAGGGCCCCCAAACTATTCACAGTTTTCCAGTTGTGGTCTGACTAGTGCCTTGTTTAGTTTTAGCAAAACCTCCCTACTTTCATACTCCATCCCATTTGAAATAAAAGCCAACATTCCACTAGCCTTCCCTGGCACCCACTAAACCTGGATGCTAGCTTCTTGTAATTCGTGGACAAGGACTCCCGGATTCCTCTGCCCTATAGCATTCTGCATTTGAAGTTAAAGAGTCATCTCTTTCCAGTCCCAGACCCTCCTCCATTACATCAATCAGCCCATTACAAACCTCAAAAAAAAAATTTCAGCCACGTGCAGCGTTACCCAAGAAAAGGAGGACCATTTAACCCATTCGGTAAGATCCAGGTTGATCTGTGATTTAACTTCTTTTCACTTGTTTCTTTCATGGGATACTTTGCCTGTCCAAAATTACCCTCCAGCAGAGTGGCTTGCTGGTCTCTTTTAGAGTCAGCCACATTGCTCTGGGGTAGGTAATGGCCTAGTGGTACTATTGCTTGGCTGTTAATCTTGTGACCCAGGTAATACTCTGGCAGCCCAGGTTCAAATCCCCCTATGACAGATGGTTGGAATTTGAATTAAAGAAAAAATCATCTGATTAAGAGTCTAATGATGTTTGGGGAAAAAACCTATCTGGTTCACTAATGCCCTTTAGGGAAGAGAATCTGCCATCCTTACCTGGTCTGGCCTACAACATAGAGCAGTACAGGCCCTTCAGCCCACAATGTTGTGCTGACCTATTATCCTACTAAGATCAATCTACCCTACATTTTACTATCCTCCATGTGCCTATCCAAGAGTTGCTTAAAAATCTATATTATCTGACTCCACTACCATTGCAGGCAGCACATTCCACACGCCCACCACTCTCTCTATATGTGACTCCAGACCCACAGCAGTGTGGTTTGCTCTTAACTAGCCTCTAGGCAATTAGAGATGGGTGATAAATACTGCAATGCCCCTATCCCATGAATGAATTTTTTAAAATGCTAGGCCAGGTAAGATTGGAAGATTGATGCTTGTGAGATGAGTTTCCAATTCCACCAATGAGATTCAAATCCCCAAAGCTGCAGGGATGTAATTTGAACGCACATTCCTGGAGGGGTAAATCAGGCCTCTGATTTACCAGCACAGTAACAGCACAATTATACTACCATCTCACTCACACATAGATGTTTACACCATATCTCTGAACACCCTTTGGTTAATCAGAGAAAATGAATAACGAAACAAAAATTACTGGAAAATCTCAGCAGGTCTGACAGCATCTGTGGAGAGAAAACAGAGTTAACATTTCAGGTCCAGTGACCTTTCTTCAGAATGTTCTAAATGTTCTGTTCTAAGGAAGGGTCACTGGACTGAAAATGTTAACTCTGCCTTCTCTCCACAGATGCTGCCGAACCTGCTGAGATTTTCCAGCAATTTCTGTTTTTGTTTCAGATTTTCAGCATCCTCAGTTCCTTTGGCCTTTTGTCAAGAGGAAATTAATCTCTGATTTTAAATTAGCATCAACTACCATTCACAGAATTCCAACATTTTTGCAAGTTGAAGTGTTTTCTAATTTTATTTCTTCAAGGACTAGTGCAAAGTTTGATGCTTAAATCCTCAGTCTTACATTTCCCCAAAAGGAGAGAGTTTCCCTTGAGAAAGTTTTGAACTGCGCTGCTCTCTCATTGATTGGAGTGTGAGTCTAGATTTCCTTTTCACACTAGTCTCTGCAATGGGCCTTCAAATTGACCATGGAGTGGCACGGTGGCTCAGTGGTTAGCACTGCTGCCTCACAGCGCCAGGGACTTGGGTTTGATTCCACCCTCGGGTGACTGTGTGGAGTTTGCACATTCTCCCCGTGTCTGCGTGGGTTTCCTCCAGGTGCTCTGGATTCCTCCCACAGTGCAGAGATGTGCAGGTTAGGGTGGATAAGCCATGCTAAATTGCCCATAGTGTTCAGGAATGTGCAGGCTGGGTCGATTAGCTATTGGAAATGCGGGGTTAGGGATTGGGTAGGTCTGAGTGGGATACTTTTTGGAGGGTCGGTATAAACTCAATGGGCCAAATGGCCTGCTTCCACACTGTAGGGATTGTCTGAAACCTACAGTCTTCTAGGGGTGAGTGGCGAGAGTAAAACCCAGTGTGTCACCATTCTAGAAGATAGTCAAGTGCTTCACGAGGAATAGGACTTAAGACCAATTGCAACTATCCATGAAGCATTTTATTTGCTAGGACTGAGCATGTGATCCTAAGGCAAAGCCCAGAGTTATTCCTGGAATACATGGGAAGGAGCAACAGTAACTCATGCCAAAGGGAGCTAAAACTTTTGGTGCCTTTTGAGTAAGAAACAAGGCAAAAAAAGACTAGTCATGTAAACACAGTGGCTACAAGAGCAGGTCAGAGGTAAGGAGTCCTGCAGTGAATAACTCACCTCCTGATGCTGCAGAGTCTGTCCATCGTCTACAAGGCACAAGTCAGGAGTGTGATGGAATACTCCCCACTTGCCTGGTTGGGTGCAGCTCCAACAACACTCAGGAAATTTGCCAACATCCAGGGCAAAGCAGCCCGCTTGATTCGTACCACATCCACAAATATCCACTCCCTCCACCACTAATGCTCAGTAGTAGCAGTGTGTACTTCAGAAATTCACCAAGGCTCCTTAGACAGCACCTTTCTAACCCATGACCACTTCCATCTAGAAGGACAATTGCAGCAGATACATGAGAACATCATTCATACTCTTACAACCTTGGTTTCTTTACAACATCCATTATCACTCTTGCTGACTTTTGTATGACAAAAGTTTTGTGACTGAATTTCCCCTGCCCTCCACCCTTTCATAGATCACCCCTTTTATTTTTCCAGACCCCTCCTACTTGTTTAAAAGGATGAAAATCACATAAAGGCCATGCATGTGCAAAGATAAAGGCGATATCACTTGTAAGCGATGGAAAGCCCTGTTTGAGGTTAGCGAAGGACAAGTAGTTTATTATTCAGGGTCTGAACCTATGCTATATTTTTTTGAAGTCTCCTCGCCCAGAGCTTTTAGATTTAGGAGTCGAACTGACTTCATCCCTATAATTGCAGCACCATATTAAGCATGCGCCAGCCACAGCCTCAATGCACACACTCCATTTGTAAGCCACCATTCAGCCTGTGCAGGCTGCTCCTGTGGTGAAGATAGGGCACATTCACTTTCCTCAAGAATGCTGGGTGCAGGCAGCATGGGGAATGGGTCATCCTTTTTAGAACCTGAAATAAAGGTGGGGGTGGTCTGCAAGTTGCAATGGAGCTGACATCACTGCACAAGGAAGGTGCTGATGTCAGCAGCAAATGCATGGTTGCTTCCTGAAAACTGTCACAGCCTAATGATGTCACCAGCCCTAGACGTGCATGTGCCTGTGGTTATTTTACTGTTCAATAATAACTTCATCTTAAAGGCACACACATTTTCACCTTTCTTCAGTTCTGACAAAAGCCAGATAATGTTAAGCCTGTTTCTCTGTCCACAGATGCTGCCTGGACCTGTTGAATCTCTCCAGGAGACTGTACAGTTCTCAAGCGGAAAATGAAGAGCTGAGCTTCACTGGAGCACTGTAGTAACCCTGAGACAGAGATGTTGGTCAGGGAACAAAGCAGTTTATTGAAGTGACAGGCAACTAGAAGCTCAGGGTGTTTTTTTGCGGACAGAATGTAGGTGTTCTGCGAAGGCTTCTGGACTCAGTATAGAGTTCAACAACTTTAGGGTTTGAGCTCTCCCATGTCCTTAACCCCTTATTGGAGGCCTTGTTGTCACATCGTCTGCTATTACACACAACCCATTATTAGACACTAACAGTCCCCATTAATAGCTATTCACCTTCATCGCCTGACCGTTATCCACTCCTTTGTCTAATTGTTCTTCCCTCTCTTTGGGCTCTATCCCCACCTATTGTTTATTTCCTTACAACTTCTCCCACCCTATCTTCTGCCAACAAAAACACATTTTCCCTGCTGCCAGTCCTGCTGAACTTTTCCAGCGATTTCTGTTTTTGTTTCTGATTTCCAGCATCCACATTTCTTTCAGTTTTTATTCCCTGTTCCAGTCCTACTATGGCTCACACCCTCAACTCTTTCTCCAGTACATCGATGACATCATTAGTGCTGTTCCCTCTCTGGTTGGGAATTGAAAAAATTCATTAATTTTGTTTCCAATTTACAGTCTGCACTATCCTTCACTTGCTTCATCTCTGATTCCTCTCTTCCCTTCCTCAACATCTGTTTCACTAATATCCACCACAAAGCCACCAACTTCCACAGTTACCTCAATTGTACATCTTCACACCCTGCTTCCTGTAAGGACTCGATTCCTTTCTCCCAGTTTCTCTGTCTCCGTCACATCTGTTCTGATGATACCAATTTCGATAAGGTGACCTCCGAATTGTCCACATTCTTCCTTGACCAACAATTTCTCACCGCCATGATTGACAGAGGCCTTAACCGTGTCTGACCCATCGACTGCACTGACCCCCTCTTTTCCCTCCCGCAACACCGATAGGGTTCCCCCTTGTCCACACCTACCATCCACATCCACAGGATCATTAGCCACCATTTCCACCACCTCCAGCGGGATGCCACCACTAGACACATCTTCCACCCCCCTCTCTTGTCAGCCTTCTGCAGGGATCGTTCCCTTCAGGACACTGAGGTCCGCTCCTCCTTCACTCCCAACACCCCCCACAGCCCCATGGCACCTTCCAGTGCAACTGCAGAAGGTGTAACACCTACCCATTTACTTCCTCCTCCCTCTGTATCCAAGGGCTCAAACACACCTTCCAGGTGAAGCAACACTTCGCACAATCTAATCTGCTGCATTCGCTGCTCACAATGTGGTCTCCTCTACATTGGGGAAATAAAGTGTAGACTGGGTGACCGCAGAGGAGAACACCTATGTTCAGCCCGCAAAAAAGACTCTGAGCTCCCTGTTGCCTTCTACTTTAACACACCACCCTGTTCCCTGGCCAACATCTGTGTCTTAGGCTTGCTGCAGTGAAGCTCAGTGCAAGCTGGAACAGCAGCACCTTATTTTTCACTTGGGAACCCGACAGCCTTCTGCATCAACATCACATTCAATAACTTTGGGGTCTGAGTGCCTTCTCCCATGTACTTTACCCACCCCTATACCTTGCCATTACATGGGTTGCTACCGTAAACAACCCATTGTCTATCACTAATGGTCCCTTTTAGCAGCTATTCATTTTCCCAGGCTGACCTTTACCCACTCCTTTGTCTGCCCAACTGCTTTTCTATCTCTCTGGGCTCCGTCTCCACCTATTATTTACCCCACCCCACCACCACATCTTCAGTATATATACCAACCTTTTTCTAGCTACAGGCAGTTCTGAAGAAGGGTCACTGGACCTGAAATGTTAACTCTGCTTTCCCTCCACAGATAATGAGATTTTCCAGCAATTTCTGATTTTGGTTCTGATTTTCAGCATTTGTAGTTCTTTGGTTTTCAGTTCTCAATCATGTCTGGAGAATGCACATATTATGAAGAAAAGTTTCTGTGTATATAGTAAACTAATTTTGAGAGTTTGGGTTTTAAAATAGTGGCATAAGGTTTGGATTACCTTTCTGACTTTTTAGAACAAAATCTAGGTCAGACAGTCATTCTGGAACAATAATCCCATCCGGAATGTTACAGAGCAGGGACTCCATGGAATGTTAGTGGAACGTTGTTTTTCCGATGTGGTTTATGGCAGGTGGGTTTACAGTGAGGGCCTGTTGGCTTGATTATAGTTTGGAATAATCATGGGATCATCTTAGCTTAGAAACCTGAGAGATTAAAAGTTTTTGGACAGGTTGGGGAGTCCTGACAGAGGTTAGAAATAAGACAGTTTTAGTATGGAAAGGCAAAATGCGTCGGTGCAGGATTGGAGGGCCGAAGGACCTGTTCCTGTGCTGTATTGTTCTTTGTTCTTTAAGTACAGTTTCAGTTCTAGAAGAGAGGTACATAGAATGGTTTAGGGGAAGCACAGTTACCTCAGTAGAAAAGATTAGTTTGTGCACCTTCCAAACCAGAAGTGTTTGGTTAGAAATTTGCAGGTTGTAGTGAGCTGACCGACTCTTAAGCTCTCAGCTGTGAGAGTATTCATGTGAGAAGACTTCACAGTTTTGGGAAAGATCTAGGGGGAATTGGTTACATTGAGGAATAATTTTGCTGGCTTGTTTCGCTGTAAAATAACAGTGTTAGGGATTAGGTGAGACTATGTTTTGCTGTGTGTATTAAGATCTTTCAAACTTCATTTTATACACTGATAGCTTTTGTGTAATAAGCTTTTGTTGTTTTGTTCAAAAACCACTGCAGCCACATGCAAGTGACCATGCCAATAACTAAAATAAAGAAAAATATCAATCAAGCCATAAATAAAAACTGAAAGAATTGTGGATGCTGTAAATCAGGAACAAAAACAGAAGTTGCTGGAAAAGCTCAGCAGGTCTGGCAGCATCTGTGCAGGAAAAATCAGAATTAACATTTCGGGTCCGGTGACCCTCCCTCAATAAAGCCATATTTAGTTCTGGGATCTGACTGGTCCTGTAGTACCACCACGTGGGATCATAGCAACGTCCACATCAATCAGCTCAGCATTTAGACTCTTAAAGGACTTGCCAGGGTAGATGTGGAGAAGTTGTTTCCCCTTGCGGGAGAGTCTAGGACAGGAGGGCATTTTCTCAAAGTCAGCGATCACACATTTAAGGCAGTGTTGAGGAGGAATTTCTTCTCTGAGGGTTAGTGAGTCTGCGGAATTCTTATCGCAGAGGGCTGTCGAGGCTGGGTCATTCAGTGTATTTGAGGCTGAGATAGAGAGATTTTTAATCAGAAAGGAAATCAAGAGAAAAGACAGGAAAATAGAGTTGAGGGTTATCAAATCAGCCGTAGTTTCATTGAATGGCTCAACACACTTGATGGGCTGAATGGCCTCCTTCTGCTCTTACATCTTATGTTCCTGTGGTTATTAAGAGATGGGGTGAGATGCCATTGTTGGTATCGGAAAGGGAAGGGTTTGATAGGCCTCTCTGAGTCTTAGAGATCTACAGTACAAAACAGTCACTTTGACCGACCACATCCGCGTCATTCAGAAACAAACACCGAATGATTGTAGTTCTAGTGCTAATTTCCTGCTGTTACGTGCTGGTTATGGTTTCAGAGAAGGAGAGCAGTGGCTCAAGATGAGGAACGTGCTGAAACAGCGCATCATGAAGCCCAAGGACGTAGCCATGTTTTCAGAAGGAGTGACTGATGTCATCGCAGATTTGATCAAAAGGATGAAGTACATGAAGGCTCAGGAAGGTGCCTCAGAGACTATAACTGATGTGAACAACTTGTTCTTTAAGTTCGCAATGGAAAGTAAGAGCCTATTCCTTTAGCCTTTGGAAAGAGTTACTGGGTTTGGATGATACTATGCTTTAAGAGGTGTATTTTATCCTGGGTTTTTTTTTTGAAGAGAGGTTTTAAGACAGAGCTGTCTGCTGAAAGCCAATAAAGTGTGTTTTGCTTAATGTTGAGTAATTTGACCAATCGAATTGCATCAGGAACACAACGCCTTACACTTACCTTTAAAATAAGAAAAAGTTAGGGTCTAGACTATCTTGTGAATATATTTTGAAGGGGTTTGGTCTGGTCCATAACACGTTAGTCTAGAACGAGAACAAAACATGGAAGATGCTGAAGGTGTGAAACAACAACAAAGTGCTGGAGAAACTCAGCAGGTCTGGCAGCATCTATGGAGAGAGAGAAACAGAGTTAATGTTTGAAGTCTGGAATGACTCTTCTTCAGACAGAAACATAGAGACTAAGAGCAGGATTAGGCCATTCGGCCCTTCAAGCCTGGTCTGCCATTCAATACGATCATGTCTGATCCTCTATCTCAATGCTGTATTGCTCTTTTCGTCTCATACCCCTTGATGCCTTTACAATATAAAAAAAAGTATCTATCTCTTTCTTGAGTTTATTCAGTGACTTAGCCTCCACAGCCTTTCGTGGTAGAGAATTCCACAGGACCACTATCTTCTGAGTGAAGATCAGGTCTACCCCATATCCTGAGGGGGTCCCCTGGTTCCAGACTCCCCAACCAGGGGAAGCATCCTCCCTGCATCTAGTCTGTCCAGCCTCATTAGAATTTTACACATTTCAGTCAGATCCTCTGTCATAGTTCTAAACTGTAATGAATACAGGCCTAGCTGAACCAGTCTCTCCTCATAGAACTGTCCCGCAAGCCCCGGTATCATCCTAGTGAACTGCCTCTGCAACCCCTCTATCGTAAATGTATCCTTTATTAAGTAGGGAAATCAAAACTGCACACAATACTGCGGATGTGATCTCACCAAGGCCCTTGTATAACAGCAGTATGACATTGCTATTTCTGAACTCAAATCCTCTTGCAACGAAAGTCAACATGACATTTGTCTTCCTAATTACTCACTGCTCATACCTGTTTGCTTTCGTTGATTGGCGTACAAAGAAGACCCAGATCCCTTTGTACATTCACATTTCCCAGAATATCTCCATTTAAATAACCCTTTTTTCTAGTTTGAGCGTTGAAGTGTGTAACTCCATATTTAACCACATTGTACTGCATCTGCCATGCGTTTGAACATTAATTCAACCTATCTAACTCACCTTGTAGCCTCCTTGCATCCTCTTCACAACTCACAATATTGTATTGGAAATAAAAAACCAAAAGAACTGTGAATGCTGTAAATCAGGAACAAAAACAAAGTTGCTGGAAAAGCTCAGCAGGTCTGGCAGCATCTGTGGAGGAGAAAACAGAGTTAATGTTTCGGGTCCAGTGACCCTTCCTCAGAACACAATATTGTATTGGAAATATTGCGTTTGGTTCTCTCATCCAAGCCATATATATAAATATCTGAATAGCTGGGGCCCAAGTGCCAATCTTTGTGATACCCCACTAGATACTGCCTGCCAGTGGGAAAAAAAAACATTTATTCCCAATTTCTATTTCCTGTCAGTCAAATGATTCTCAGTCCATATCAATATATTACCCCCAACCTATGTATTTTAACTTATCAAAATCTTCTGAAAATCCAAAAGCACCACATTCACTAGTTCTCCCTTATCTGCTCTACATCCTCAAAAATCTCCAGTAGACTTATTAAGCATGAATTGTTTTCATAAACCTTCACTGGTTTTGTCCAGTCCCATTAGTGCTTTCCAAATATTCTGTTATTATATCATATATATTACCTACTATTGATGTTAGACTAACTGATCTGATTTTCTTTCCCTCACATTTTAGACAGTGGGGTTACATTTGTCACCCTCCAATCTGTAGGAATTGTTCCAGAGTCTATAGTGTTTGGAATTTGGCCACCAATGTATCTAATATTTCCAGGGCTACTTCCTTTACTACTTTGAGATCTGGATTACTAGTCCCTGGGGATTTGTCAGCCTTTAACCACATTAATTGCCCCCATCTCATTTTCTAACTAACACTGATTTCCTTCAATTCCGCCCTTTTTAGTTCCCTCACATTTCTGGGAGATTATCTGTGTCCTCTTTTGCGATGACAGGACCAAAATATGTTTTCAATTATTTACCACTTCTTTGTTCACCATTATATTTTCACCGGCTTCTGACTGTAAGGGACCTATCTTTGTGTTTAATAATCTTTTTCACTTCACATATTTATAGAAGCTTTTGTGATGAGTTTCTATATCCCCTGCAATTTTACTTGCATACTCCTCTTGATCAGACTTTTTGTCCTCTTTTGCTGAATACTAAAATACTCCCAATCCTCAGGCTTGTTGCTTTTTCTGGCAATTTTATATGGCTCCTCCTTGGATCTAAAACTATCCCTAATTTATTTTGTAAGCCACAGTTGAACCACCTTTTCTCCTTTATTTTTCTGCTAGATAGGATTAATTTTCTTTTTATAATTCATGCACATATCTCTGATATATGAGCCATAGCCAGCTCATTTAGTAAGGTTCCCCAATCCATCCTTGCCAATTCATACCTCGTAGTTCACTTTATTTAGGTTTAGGACCCCAGTTTCAGATTCAACACCTTTCCTGCAATTCTATCATATTATGGTCACTGTTCCCCAAGGAACAAGATTCTTAATTAATTCTTTCCTCTTGTACAATACCCTGTCTAGCTAATCTGTTCTTTGCTTTGTTCCTTAACATATTGGTCTAAAACAAACGATCACATGCACACTCCAGGAAATCTTTCCCCATACTACTATTGCTAGTTTGGTTTGTCCAATCTACGTGTAAATTAAAGTCACCAGTGATTACAGTAGTACCATTTTGCATTCTTGGATTTCTCATGTAATGCCTTCCGTTATGCCTCCACTACAATTTGGGAACCTAAGACAATCCCCAATAACATATTCAGTCCCTTGGTGTTTTTTATCCTTACCCATACAGGTTCTGTTTAATGATTTTTTCCGAGCCAATAAATTTCCTCTCAATTGCATTATTTAATCTTTTACTAACATTGCTACCCTACCCCCTCTTCTGTTTCCATCCATCCTTCCGAAATGTCAGTTCCATTCTTCGTCGCACTGCAGCCATGTCTCTGTAATCACAGCTAAATCATAACCGTTTATATCTGTTTACATCAGTAAATAATCATCTTATTGTGAGTGCACCATGCATTAAGACACAGTTCTGAGGAAGGGTTACCAGACCCGAAACGTTAACTCTGATTCTTTCCTTCACAGATGCTGCCAGACCTGCTGAGCTTTTCCAGCAACTTCTGTTTCTTGTTCCTGATTTACAGCATCTCCGGTTCTTTCAGTTTTTTATTTAGTATTTAACTCACTGCCACATCTCTTCCAGACATGCCCACCTTGAAGAAGTTCTGCTCCTCTCTCCGATGGGATTTCCATTCCCATCTTTCTCCTTGCCCACCGACATTAGTTTCACTGTCACTCCTGGTGTTTGACCAGGTATTTGCTAAAACTCGTTTCCAAAGCCATATTACAAGTTCTGAGGAAGGGTCACCGGACCCAAAACGTTAACTCTGTTTTTGCCTTCACAGATGCCTCCAGACCTGCTGAGCATTTCCAGAAACTTCTGTTTATGTTCCAGACCCTTTAGACTTGTCTTTTTAACCTTGCTAGTGGGGAGGCGATGGCCTAGTGATATTATCGCTGGACTGTTAATCCAGAAACCCAGGTAATGTTCTGGGGACTTGGGTTTGAATCCCACCACGGCAGATGATGGAATTTGAATTCAGTAAATATCTGGGATTAAGAACCTAATGATGACCATGAGTTGTCAGGGAAAACCCATCTAATGCCCTTTAGGGAAGGAAACTGCCATCCTCACCTGGTTTGGCCTACATATGACTCCAGGCCCACAGCAATGTTGTTGACTCTTAACTGCCCTCTGGGCAATTAGGGATGGGCAATAAATTACTCCCTCATCCTGTGAATGAGTAAAGGAAAAAAAAAAGTCATCTCAGCTTTGTTCTACACTATTGGTCCCATTTGTTTCTCGCTCTTGTTTTTCTGCTTTGCTTCTTACATTTTTGTCTGTTGTTCCTATTCGTATTTCTCCCCGCTCTGTCTTCCTGCTCAGGTTCCCATCCTCCTACCATTCTGGTCTAACCCCTTCCAGACAGCCTTAGCAAACAGGTAAGAATTAAGCTGATTATACATTCTGGATTAGATTGTGGCGAAAACTGTCAATGAAAAACAGAGAGAAAACCCGCAAGTGTACTTTATTCTACATATTACAAGTGAATTCTTAGAAAGTTGCAGTGCAACAGCAGGCCATTTAGCCCATTGTGACTGTGCTAACTCCATGAAAGAGCTATCCAATTATTCCCACACCCTAGGGTCAATTCGAATTCTAATAGCTAATTCTGGACTCACCCAGACATTTTCTTTACAGGGTTTGATCTTATCGCGAGCTTTGGGTGTATTCAAATCAAGGTCACATTTACCCAGAAGTCAAAACAGAGATCTGATAGGATCCAATGAATGAAACAAGACAAGGTTCTATCTTGGTCTTTTGTAGATAGCTGAAGTGGAGGCTTTAATCTACAATAGACACTGCAGTCCAGGAATCTCTAGCGTGACTCTGCACGGAAGCAATTGTCTCTGTCTTGATACTCTCCACACTTGCGAGGACTCAAGATTCTCGATCTCCTTTCTACCCTCAGGTGTTGCCACTATCCTTTTCGAAACTCGGCTTGGCTGCTTGGAAAACCATGTCCGCCAAGAAACCAGGGACTGTATGGAAGCTCTGGATCTCATGTTCCGCACCTTCAAGGCCACCATGTATGCAGGCGCCATTCCCAAGTGGCTCCGTCCTTTCATCCCCAAACCTTGGAATGAGTTCTGCCGGTCTTGGGATGGGCTTTTCCGATTCAGTGAGTATCATCGCTCCACTCACGATGACACCGAACTGTTTCATGATTTATCGCCCTGTTCCTTCGGGTGTGAAGGTGGATAATACCAAGACCTGGTTCCACCCTACCCTGGAAAGGAGGAGACTTTGAGACTGTTTAAGGGCAACGTCAGAGCTGAGACAGACAGATTTTTTAATCAGTGAGGGAATCGAGAGCTATAGGGAAAAGGCAGGAAATCAGATCAGCCATGATCTCACTGAATGGCAGAACAGACTTGATGGGCAGAATGGTCTGCTTTTGCTCCTATGGCTTAGAGTCTTAACTTCACTGTTCACAATAGGAATGAGAGCAGGAGTTGCCATTCAGTCCTTTCTGCCGTTACCTAACACCTGAAGAAGGAGTGAAGCTCCGAAAGCCTGTGTTTTCAAATAAACCTGTTGGACTATAACCTGGTGTCGTGTAATTTCTGACCTTGTCCAACCCAGTCCAACACCGGCACCTCCGCATCCTGTTCAAATGCAGCAAGTCCTGGATAATGTTCAGGCTTGGGGTGACAAGTGACAAATACCATTCACACCAAAATTACCAGGCAATAAACCTCTCCAACAATCTGACCATTGCCCCTTCATGTTCAGTTGCATTGTCATTATTGGACCCTCCACTATCAATATCCCAACTATTGACTAGAAATTAAACTGAACTCACTACATAAACACAGTGGCTACAGGAACAGGTTAGAGGCTAGGAACACTGCAATGAGAAACTCACCTTCTGATTCCCCAAAGCCTGTCCATCATCTACAAGGCTCAAGTCAGGAGTGTGATGGAATACTCCCCACTTTCCTGGATGGGTGAATCCCCAACAATACTCAAGAAACTTGACAACATCCAGGGCAAAGCAGCCCGCTTGATTTCTACCACATCCACAAATATCCACTTCGTCCACCAATAACGCTCAGTAGTAGCAGTGTGTACCACCTACAAGACACTGCTTTTCAGAGGGTTGGTGTGGATTTAATGGGCAGAATGGCCTGATAGCGGCTCACCAGCACGATCTCCATGGAGATTAGGGTTAGGAAGTAAATGCTGTGACCCAGCCAACAATGCCCACGTCCCATGAATAACTATATATATATTTTTTTTAAGCTTGCTGTCACCTTTCCTGAATGTACTGGCAGCCATGAATAGGTTATCTTTATTCAACTGGTGAGGTGTTTGGTCACTTTTAAGACTGAACGTTTTGATGTTGATGGTTATTTTGGCCAGGCCCAGGAGCAGGTCCACAAAGAAGTCCACTGAAGCTGCCCACACTCCCCTCCCCCACCAAAGATCAGGGCTGACGTGGAACGAAAAGAACAATTTTTCGAATAACCAAGCAGGGACAGCAACCAACATACACACAGTTCACAGATTCCAAGAATAAAACAATTGGGCTGTGAGTCTGAACCACAAGATCTCAGCTGGTTTCTTGCTCAGATATTATACACCTCTGGAGTAGGTGGGACTTGAACTCAGGGTCATCTGGCTCAGAGACAAAATCTCTACTACTGTACCACAAGAACCTTCACAATGCTGCCTATGCCCCTAATAAAAGAGTGTCACCTATTCCCAATCAACTCTGGAGCCTGTGGTACAGTGGCAGTGACCCACAGAGGAGGTTCACTGGGATGATTCTGGAATTGAGAGGGTTGCCTTATGAGGAGAGATTGAATAGACTGGGACTATACTCATTGGAATTTAGAAGAATGAGGGGGGGGATCTTACAGAAACATATAAAATTATGAAGGGAATAGATAAGACAGAAGCAGGGAGGTTGTTTCCACTGGCGGGTGAAACTAGAACAAGGGGGCATAGCCTCAAAATAAAGGGGAGCAGATTTAGGACTGAACTGAGGAGGAACTTCTTCACCCAAAGGGTTGTGAATCTGTGGAATTCCCTGCCCAGTGATGTAGTTGAGGCTTCCTCATTGAATGTTTTTAAGGAAAAGATAGACAGATTTTTGAACAGTAAAGGAATTAAAAGTTATGATGAGCGGACAAGTAAGTGGAGTCCACAAAAAGATCAGCCATGATCTTATTGACTGGTGGAGCAGGCTCAATGGGCCAGAAGGCCTACTCCTGCTCCTAGTTCTTACGTTGTTACCTCAGGGCCAGGAGGCTTGGGTTTGATTCCCACCTGCTCCAGAGGCGTGTATGAACAAGTTGATTAAGAATATCTCAGCAATATTGTGGTTACAGCTGGGACTTTCCTCACTTTAAAAAACTCTGTTTGAGCCTTAAACAGACCAACTATTTAAAGTGTTAATGAAGATCTGTAGCTCAGGTTGTGGCTGGAGTTGTTGGTTGGTTCGCCGAGTTGCTGGTTTTCATGCAAACGTTCATCCCCCTTCTAGGTGACATCTTCAGTGCTGTTTAGCCTCTGTTGAAGCACTGAGCTTTTCCAGCAATTTCTGTTCTGTTGAAGCGCTGTCGTTTTGTTCCTTTCGGAATTTGTGTGGTCCGGTCTGGCATGGGTGGCTGTCTGTTTCTGATTTTGATCTGTAGTTGAATCACAATAGCACACAAACCAAAAGCCACACATGGCTAGTTACGCTCAAAGACAAAAGACCCCAGACACACAATGAGCAGGACAAATGCGATATACAAAATACCATGCAGAGACACTACATAGACAGGCAGGAAACTCGCTACATGAATACCAACTCACAGCATAACAGCATGACCAACTGTCCCTCATTTCTATTCACTCCAGCAAAGAAGGACATCAGTTTAACTGGGACAAAGTAACAGTACTAGGACAAACAGGACAAAGACAAGCACGAGATTTCCTGGAAGCCTGGTTTTTCAATCACTGGTACGATAAACAAACATGTTGAAATGGACCCATCTACATACCACGATGGCACAAAACCAGAAACAAGACTGCCGACCATGACAGACCGGACCATATAAATTCAGAGTGGGACAGAACAATAACACTTCAATGGAGGCTACACTGCCCTGACAGTGTCCCCTAGAAGGGAGACAGAACGTTTGCATGGAAACCAGTTAGCTTGGTGAACCAACTAACAACTCAGACCAGTCATTTTTAACTCTGCCAGTGTTGACTGAAAATTAATTCCTGTTAATTTATTTTACTTGCTACATTCCCTTCACTCACTTCCTCGTTTTTATTTCTCCGCACCCACCCCACCCATATATATCCAGGTGAGATGCACGTTGACCGGAAGATGGTTCAGATCAAGCAGCAGTTGGAGCAGGGGCAGGCTATCCAGGGCGGGTTACTGACCTGCTTGTTGGTCAAAGAGGAGATGACCCTGGAGGAGATTTACGCAAATACGTCAGAGATGCTGCTAGCAGGCGTTGATACGGTAAATCTAACACCACAGTCGTCGTCACCTCTCTCTGAGGTTAGGGACCCTCTGGGAGAAACTGGACGTGTGACCCGCTCCCTCTCTCTCTAAATCTGGAGACACAAGTAGGATTCGCAAATCAAAGTCATTCCTTGACAAATTGCTTCTCTGATCTAGCCCCTAGTACAACGCTCCATTTTGAAGATTGCACATAAGTTGAGTGAATCATATTAAGGGATTAGTAATCAGTAAACAAGTATCCTTTTTATTCATTCATGGGATGTGGGTGTAGGGATTGTAACAAGGTAGACCTCATAGAATATGAGTTACCTGATTGGGGCTGTTATTCTGGTCCAATCAGGGAGCCCTGGCTAACAGATAAGAACAGGAGTGTCACAGGTTCTGTTCAATCTGAGAGCTGGCTCTGAGGGAGCTGGATCAGTGTCAAGTACTATGTGTGTGTAAATAAAAGGTGACAGGATACCAGCCTGAATGGAGTTATTTCAATGGGTGTCACTGGTTAGGCCAGCATTTATTGCCCAGAGGACAGCTAAGAGTCAAACACATTGCTGTGGGTCTGAGGAAGGGTCACCGGACCCGAAATGTTAACTCTGATTTTTTTCTTTCACAGATGCTGCCAGACCCGCTGAGCTTTTCCAGCAACTTCTGTTTTTGTATATTGCTGTGGGTCTGGAGTCACATGTAGGTCAGACCGGGTAAGGATGGCAGTTTCCTTCCCTAAAGGACATTAGGGAACTAGATAGGTTTTCCCTGACAATCAACAATGGATTCACAGTCATCATTAGAGTATTATTTCCACATTTTTATTCTACTTTAGAATAGTAATTTAACGTCACTTGTATGTATGAATTCAAATTTCACCATCAGCCATGGTAGGATTTGAAGCCTAATCTCCAGAACATTACCCAGGTCTCTGAATTAACAATCCAGCCACAGTACCACTCAGTCAAATATGACTTCTCATACTCTGAATCAATTTATAACATACACATTAGGAGCATGAATACCTTGCTGTGGCATTCAGTAAGATCATGACTGATCTGATTACTCCAAATTCCCACTTAACTCTAAAAACTTTTCACCCCCTTGTTTAAGCATAATCTGTTCTCCTCTATCTTAAAATATTCAAACATCTACTTTCATTGCCTTATGAGAAAGACAGCTACACAGACCCTCTGTGGGAGAGAATTTTGCTCATTTCTGTCTTAACTTCATTTGAGACAGTTACCTCTAGTTCTAGATTCTCCCCAAAGTGGAGACATCCTTTTCAATTCTGCCCTGCCAACCACAATGTTTTAGGTGAGGTCTCCTTGTGGATTGTGAGGTAAATGCTGAAATGTGTGGGTTAAAAAGATGCCAATTGATCCCTGTCCTGCGTAAGTAGCAGCTGTATGCAGTGAGGAAGACTCTGCAATGTAAGGTACACTATAGTGCGTCAGTAAACCCTGCAAATGGAATTGGCGTATAAACCTTATCTTCCACCATTTGGAGGGGAGATGAACATAGAAACATAGAAAATAGGTGTAGGAGTAGGCTATTCAGCCCTTCGAGCCTGCAGTACCATTCAATAAGATCGTGACTGATCATTGCAATTTCAGTATCCCATTCCCACTTTGTGTCCCTGCCCCTTGACCCCTTGACCCCTTTAGCTGCAAGGGCCATGTCCAGCTCCCTCTTGAATATATCTAATCAACTGGCCCCAACAGCTTCCGGTGGGAGAGAAATTCTTCCTCATTTCAGTCTTGAATGGCCTACCTCTTATTCTTAGACTGCGACCTCTAGTTCTGAACTCCCCCAACTTCGGGAACATTCTTCCCGCATCCAGCCTGTCCAGTCCCATCAGGATTTTATATGTTTCTATGAGATCCCGCCTCATTCTTCTAAATGCCAATGAGTACAAGCCTAGTTGGTCCATTGTGAAGTGAGAACATTGATATAGATGGAGAAAACTCAAGGCCTTACTCCAAGATAAGTTGGAACACCAGGAATACTATCTCGCAAATGCCACTCAGGAAAGGTAATGGACCATTGGGAAAGATGGCCAAACTTTTTGCAAATCAAACTAAGCATGGAAGAGTGTAAGAGCTGGGAGTAGGTCATATTGGTCCCATATTCAACAAGGTCATGGCTGATCTGGCCTAGGAGTCACCTCCTAGCCCTCAACTCTTCGATGCTTTTTAAAAAATCGACATACCTCCTCCTTAAATACATTTGATGTATTTACTAACTGGGGAAAGATCACTCCAGGATATCCTGTGTGCTAGAGATGGTGAGATAGTTTGGGGGGAGTCAGTAGATGTATGTAATTCTCCAATAAAAGAGATAGTCTCCAATAAATTCACATGGAAGACAAACAAGAGTTCACTTATCTGGTCTGCAGCCTTCCCTCAGAACCGCTGAGTGTTTTTAGCATTTTTCTTTTTGTTTCTAATTTCAGCATTCCGACAATTTGCAGATTTTTTTTTCTTTGTCCACTAATTTTAGGATGGGTTTTCAGGATGGCAGGGGAGGGGCTGGAGGATTTGCTGCTTTGAAGTTAATCGGTCCTCTTATGGTTAAAATTCAGACTTCCTTCACGTTATCGTGGTGCACGTACCTTCTGGCCAGGTATCCTGCTGTTCAAAGGCTGGTGTATGAAGAGATTGTTCAGAACCTTGGATCCGATGTGACCCCAACAGCTCAGGATCTATCCAAATTACCTCTGGTCCGAGGAGTCCTCAAGGAAACCTTGAGGTAAAGTGCTTATCCTGATCTAACTCTTCCCGGTTGATTTTTGGATGAAATGTCTCGCCTGTGGCAGAAGTGAGTGGGTTACAGTGCTATGCCCGTTAGTTATAATGAGAGATTGGATAGACTAGTGTTGTTTTCCCTGGTGCAGAGGAGATTGAGAGGGGCCTTGATTGAGATGTATAAATGATGAGTAGAGAGGAAGGAACTTTTCCACTTGGTTGAAGGAGCAATGACTGGGGGCATAGATTTAAGGTAAGGGGCAGAAGGTTTAAAGGGGACGTGAGGAAAATTGTTTTCGCCCAGAAGGTGATAGGAATCTGGAATTCACTGCCTGTAAGGGTGGTTAAGGGTAAAAACCCTCATAACTTTTAGGAAGTATTGTGATGTGCACTTGCAAGGCTGTGGGCCAAGTGCTGGGAAATGGGATTTAAATAGTCAGATGCTTGTTTTTTGACTGGCACAGACTCAGTGGGCTGAAGGGCCTTTAACTGTGCTGCAGACGTCTTCAATTCCATGCTCTATGATGCAGTAATGAAGTTGGGCTGCATTGCTGCCGCTGCCCTTTCATCACTGAGGGAGATTAAACTGAGACACAGCAAGATTAGGAAAGGGCGTGCAAAGATCCCATTGGCTATCTTTGTAGGAAGGTGGGAATGTTTCCCAGTAAACATGTAAGCATTCGCCCTCAATTACATTCCACAAATTGCAGATAATGTGGTTATTCATCTTACGGCCAGGCACAGCCTGTTGAGAGACTGAGGTTGATAAATACTTTGTTGTAACTGAAGGTATTTTGTGCAGCCTTGATGTATAGATGCAAGCAAACACTCCCATCGCCTGTATTGACATATTAAAACAAATAGACACATTCACTCAATCCTTTCCAAATTCTCATCTGTTCCAGATGTTTTTAATAAACCTGTTCAGCTATGTTATGACACACCTCTAGTGCAGGTGGGATTTGAATCCATACCTTGTAACACTACTGCTGTGCCACAAGAGCCCCTTTGTCTGTTCCACTAGCAGTGGAAGGCAGTTGCAATCACTAGCATTAAGCTGCACTGGTCACATCATGAATAGAGTTCTGAGCCCCATGGGTCAACCTTTAAGTTGACTCATAGGGACAAATGGTGCAGCAGTATTGAGGGGGGCTGGGTAGCTCAGTTGGCTGGATAACTGGTTAGCAATGCAGAGCAATGCTTGTCACTCAATTCCCACAGCCACCTCAGATTAGTTGAAGCTCTCCCCACATCTGGGTTGTGGTGACCCTCAGGTTAAACCATCACCAGTCAAGTCTTTCTCAAATGAGAGAGCAGCCCTGGAGGGGAGAGGTATATCCAACAGAGATCTTCCCACTGCTTTGCTTACCTTAGTGCTGTAATCTAACCCTCTGTTGGCAGTATAGAGTCAGACAACACAGAAACAAGACCCTTTGTTCCAACTCATCCATGCTGACCATTATCCCAAACTAGACTAGTCTCACCTGCCTGTACTTGGCCCATATGCCTCCAAGCATTTCTTATTCATGTACTTATCTAAATATCTTTTAAATGTTGCAACTATACCACATCCACCACTCTGGAAGTTCATTCCACGTACGAAACACCCTCTGTGTGAAAATATAGTCCCTCAGGTCCCTTTTAAATCTTTCTCCTCTCAACTTAAAAATATGCCCCTTGGTTTTGAACCCCACCCCCCTACCCTAGGGAAAAGGTACAGGCAGATCATAGTAAGCAAAGCCAGACAGAACACAGGGTGGAAAAAATCTTAGGCATACAGGTTACATCTCACAGGGCATGCGCTAGGCAAAAAAGAACATTATTAGTAATTTTTACAGATTTAGAATTTAAGTTTAAAAGTGTAGAACAGTTATAGGAAATGTCTGAATTAGATCTGCTGTAGGCAGGTCGCAAGGAGTCATGCAGTGAATGTGCCGTCTTGAATCATTGCAGGATGAGCTTATTGGGTGTGGTTGGCTATTGAAACATGAAGCGTATAAATTGAGTGGGGTGGGGGTACAAGGACAGCACCCACTGGAAATTGGCCAAGTGTGTGACAGCTTGTTCTGGGAAACTGGTTGATGTTGAATAACTCAGTCGTGGCGGGGTAGGGAATGGAGGGAGGCTTTCCCTGTAAACTGAAAAGAATTCCCATTTGCTTTCCACCACAGGCTGTTCCCTGTCCTTCCCGGGAATGGTCGGGTCACCCAGGAGGACATGATTGTCGGTGGATACTTCATTCCAAGCGGGGTGAGCCAAACGTTTATTCTTTGAATTATTACTCGTGCTGTGGAAATTAATAACTTCCTAAAGTTAATCTCTGTTATGAAGAATGTGTTGTAAAACAGCTCTGCTTTTGTTAAATCACCATCAAAGAATCTCGGATTATAACATGAGGCCACTCCGTACATCATATCTGTGCTGGCACATTCAACGAGCAGTTGTAAAAACCGAAAGAACTGAAGATGCTGTAAATCAGAAACAAAAACACAGATTGCTGGAAAAGCTCAGCAGGTCTGGCAGCATCTGTGGAGTGAAAGCAGGGTTCATGTTTCGGGTCCAGTGACCCTTCCTCAGAACTGATGGTAGCTAGGAAAAGGTTAGTTTTTATGCAGAAGATAGGATGAAGAGGAGGGGTTGGGGGCTATAATGAGTAAACGATAGGTGGACTTATAGCCCAAAGAGAGAAAAGAACAGTTGGACAGATAAAGGAGTGGATAACAATCAGCCTGTGAGAATGAATAGACATTAATGGAGACTGTTGGTGGCCGGCAATGGGTTATGTGTAATAGCAGACCATGTGACAACAAGGCCTGGTGTGTGGGGTAAGGACATGGGAGAAGATGCCTCAAGCCCTAAAATTGTTTAAATTGATATTGAGTCCAGAAGGCCGTCAAGTTCCCAAGCGGAAAATGAGGTGCTGTTCTTCCAACTTACGCTGAGCTTCGCTGGAGCACTGCAGCAAACCTGAGACAGAGATGTTGGCCAGGGAACAGGGTGTTATGTTGAAGTGGCAGGCAACTGGAAGCTCAGGGTCTTTTTTGCGAGCAGAACGTAAATGTTCTGCGAAGCGGTCACCCAGTCTACGCTTCGTTTCCCCAATGTAGAGGAGACCACATTGTGAGCAGCGAATGTAGTAGACTAGATTCTGGGAAGTGCAGGTGAAGTGTTGCTTCACCTGAATGGTATGTTTTGGCCCTTGGATGCTGGGGAGGGAGGAGGTAAATGGGCAGGTGTTACACCTTCGCTGGTCAAAGGGGAAGGTGCCGTAGGGTTGTGGGGGATTGTTGGGAGCGAAGGAAGAGTTGACCAGGATGTCCCGGAGGGAACGGCCCCTGCGAAATACCGACAAGGGAGGGAAGAGGAATATGTGTCTGATGATGGCTTCCCACTGGAGATGGAGGAAATGGCAGCTAATGATCCTTTGATTGTGGATGCTGGTGGGAAGGTAGATGAGGACAAGGGGGTCCCTATCGCTTTTGCGGGAGAGAAGAGAGGAGGTGAGGGCAGAAGTGTGGGAGATGGGTCAGACCCGGTTGAGGGCCCTGTCGACAACGAAGCTGGGGAATCCTCAGTTGAGGAAGAAGATGGACATTTTGGAGGCTCCCTTGTCGAAGTTGGCCTCATTAGGACAGAGATTATAGAGACAGAGGAAGTGGAAGAATGGATAGAGTCTTTACAGGAAGTAGAGTGTGAGGATGTATAGTCCAGCTAACTGTGGTAATCGGTGAGTTTATAGTGGGTATGGGTGGCCAGCCTATCCCCAGAAATGGAAACAGAGATGTCAAGGAAGGGAAGGAAAGAGTTGGAGAGGGACCAAGTGAAAAGTGGAAGCAATATTGATAAACTTTTCCAATTCCAGACAAGAGAGGGATTCAGCACCTGTGATATCATAGAATCCATCCAGTGTGGAAGGAGGCCATTCAACCCATGCCAGCCCTCCAAAGAGCATTCCACCCTGTCCCTGTCCCTGTCTTTCCCATAGCCAATCCACTAGCCTGCGTATCCCAGGACTCTATGGGCAATTTAGCATGACCAATCCACCTAACAGGCACATCTATGGACTGTGGAAGGAAATCCACACAGACACGGGGAGAATGTGCAAACTTCACACAGACAGTCACCCAAGGCTGGAATTGAACCCAGGGTAACTGGCACTGTGAGGCAGCAGTGCTAACCACTGAGCCACCATGCCACCCCCATTGATATACTGGAGAACACTTGATGATTTGTCAAACGTCAAGAATCTATTCACTATGTTGTCAGGACGACAGAAGTTAGATCTGATAAATGCTGACCTGCGATTTACAAACAAAAAGTAGGAGTAGGCCTTTCAGCCCCTTCAAGCCTGCTCCACAGCTCAATAAGATCAAGATGGATCTGTTTGTGGCTTAAATTACAGCTTCCCATCCACGCCCCAATGGCAATCACTCTCGATTCCCCTCCCTATCGAGAATCCATCCACCGCAACTTCAAAAATATTCAGTGAAGCCCCCCTCCCCCGCCCCCACCTCCTCATGAAGCAGACAGTTCCAAAGTCACACAGAACTCCGAGAAAAAAGAAATCCTCTTTTCTCTGTCCTGAAAAGACAGCCCCCTAATTATGAAACCCCACCACCTAGTTCACAACTGACGCACAAGAGAAATCATCCTTTCCACAGCCTTCTTGCCAAGGCTATTTTGGATCTTCATCATTCAATCAATTCACCCCCCATTCTTCTAAACTCCTGCAGAAACAAGCCCATTCTTCCCTCACAAGATAACCCACTCATTGCGGGTCTTAATCTAGTAAACCTCCTCTCAGCCACCTCCAACACCTTCCCTAATGAGGGAGACCAAAACTGCACATAGTAGTTAAGATGTGGTCTCAACAATGCCGTATATAACTCATAGAACCCCTACAGTGTGGAAACAGGCCCTTTGGCCCAGTAAGTCCACACCGACCTTTGGAACATCCCACCCGGAGCCATCCCCCTATAACCCACCTAATCTACACAACCCTGAACACCCCTGAACGCTACAGGCAATTTAGCGTGGCCCATCCGCCTAACCTGCACATCTTTGGACTGTGGGAGGAAACCGGAGCACCCAGAAGAAACCCACACAG